GTGGCAGCTCCAGTATTTAGGATCTATTTCAGAGAGAAGTAAAAGTATGACGAGGATGGTATTGCTCACTACAAAATAGGTACAAGGTTTCAGTTCGACTATATTCACCTGCAATTGCAGCATGCCGTATCGTTGCATAGGTTCATCGTTGTACGTATCGGTGTCTTCAGCAATGAGTGGATTCTCAGCATACAAGGCCCACCCTTCACTRAAAGCAGTGTACGTGTTTTGATTTATCCAGCCCAGAGAATCGGTGCAAGTAACCTTGAAATGTTCAACGCGTCCCTGGACCTGAGACRAATTCAATGTTAAAACACTGGAAAAAATCGCGCGCTTTAAAGGTTGTAAATTTGATGTAAATATGATGTAATTGTCCAAAATTCTGTAAATGATTTCCATTAAATTTACAGAATTTTGGACACGTACACCGTATTTACATCAAATCAAGCGATTTTTTCMAGTGAAACTTCGGTTCTATATGCATCTAAAAGAAGGAAATGGAATGTGATCTTCCCATCGACATTACATGGACTTACATCTGACTTTCAAAGACGAATTTCTTTAAAGAAATGAAGAAAGGCTATAAAAAGGTGTATATTTTAGTCGGGCATTTTTTAAGTGCCCTATTCTCAAATTTGCGGCGTTTTTTTTCAGGCAACGTACTTGATATTGGATAGTCTATCGTGAAAGAAATATGCAACGCACGGCTGAGTCGAAGTAACATTACGTAACAACTGATCCTATCTCCAGTAGGTGTTTCACTAAAGTAGCCAACATCGACTAAATCTGATTGCGTAAAACACATGATGGAGACTGAATTTAAGGAGAAATGACAAAAGGAAGTTAAGCTGTAACGAAGGAAGTCAAGTCGAAAAGAAGGAAGCAATGATAGAAAGAAAAAAAGGAATTGAAATAAGAATGAAATAGAACGTACCTGTAGATGATGTCCAGGGCGAGCCTCGTGAGCATTAATACTCCATTCAGAAAATTTAGGCCCCAGTCTCTCTAAGAAAAATGGAAGATAATACGATGCAGAGTCCGTACATTCTTTATCACTTGACAAGTAACTCTGAGCACCACTTGACGGGTTGAAATCAGGTYTTAGTCGAACGGGACAGTTCGGCGTCGTGTGTTTGGACCCAGAAAAGTAAAACATGTTGACAATCTTTGAATTAAGGA